ACAGTAAAATATTGCTTGGTAATTACAATTCCTGGTTTTTGCAACATTTTAATACTATGGATTGAAAATACAGAGCAAAGGAGTATGTGAACCCATGAGCATTCTGTGATGGTAGGTTCGAATATTATGTATTTCATAATCTACTTTCTTTGGATATTTAGATGATATTGTATTATGTAGGTTAATAATATATGGCAGGTTTGTATCTGTAATTTTTTTGTTTTATTTCCTCTTGTGAAATCTTTTAAGCACTGTTTTTATTATTGTGATTTACCGCCTTACAACCGACACGAAAGCTAAACTATAGCAGTTGCACAATCCATCATTTTGTCATAAAAGTGCCAGTTGTGTATATGCTGCACACAGAATGAAATATAAGCCAGTAAAATTGGCTTCCTTGTCCCTGAAGCAGTCTGTTGTACTGTACACTCGAGAGCACTAGTTTCTGCTTCTTCTAGCAGCCGAAGGCGTAGCCGATGAACAACCGATGCTGATTGATCTACTCCCTTTTAAAAACTAGTTGTATGCTCCAGTGCTATCCTACACTCAACTCACCCGTTTCCCAGTTGTCTCTAGAACTACCCCAGTATCTCTTCCCCGTACTCCTTACCTTTCCACTTCTACTTTCCCTACCTCCCAGTCATATTCTTTAAACATTTTAAATCCAGGTAATCCCTGATGCCTGTCCCTCCTCGTTTTACCAATCATACTAGACAATCTGAATGCTCCACACCATCTAATACATCCTCTTCTACACGTACATCTTAAACCCTCAGATGTCTCTCTCTTCTTCCCCTCCTCTCCCCCAATCCCTTGCCCGTTATTGTCGTGGGGGGAGGGCTTGGGGGACTGAGCACTGAAACTGCTAACTACTCCTCAATGCCTACCAGTGCATTACCCACCCAAGCTGAGACTCAGTCTCCAGAAGACATTCCTACTCTCCCAACTTCCTCAACTTCATCACCTCTACCCCTACAACCTTCTTCATCAAACACCCCATCCTTCCTCATCACTAACTTATGGCCTTATTCTCAATCTCTGCGTAATACTACCCCCTCAACAACACTCCCTCTTCCACACGTCACCATCCTTCTACACCACTAACCCTACAAATATCTTAAATGCTCTTTTTTGCCCAGCTAAATGGGACCGATTTTTCGTGATCCCTCCTACACTTCTTACAACATTCTTCTCTTTCAACAATGCCTCCAAAAGCAAGTGGGCAGAGTCCCTTTCCGTACCCGACTGATTGTTCCCGTCTCGTGACAGTCACATCAGAAACTGAAGCTATAGCATTATCAAATCTAACTGATCTCTCTGGCAATCCCATTCCTGCAGAACCTCATCCAATACTTGTACTGGAATTGTCTCTATCTCCCCAGCAAGCTGCCCTATGGATATCGATTGGTCTAATTGTGGAGAGTACTTACTCGGCTGCCTCAAGGACCGCGATGTGATATCAGTACAATACCACACCATTACTCCTAGAGGTCATTGAAAGAAACCGACCAACATTGCCAAAATTACTTTCAGTACACATGACCTTCCCTTTCGTATCCACATTGGCGGGACAATCCTCTGTTTCGACCAACACAACCCTCCCCGTCAACGTCAAAACTGTTGGCACTTTGGACTTCCTGCTAAAAACACGGCCCGCGCTCCACAGACCAATGACCCATATGCGCCCAACCCGGTCATATCCGATTCAAACTGCCCCTGCACAAACACGCACACGTGCTAACTGCGGCGGCCCCCATAATGTATTTTATAGAAGCTTTCCCACTTGCAAGTTCAGATACAAAAATGGTCTCGCTATACGTGAAACCAGACAAGAAGCACACCGACAAGGTTTCCCTCATACTCTAGTAATGTCGCTCGCTCTGCCCCTCCCCCTCCACCTCAAAGATGTTCCTTACACCTCCCCTATACTATTACTTCCCCACTCCACCACTTCCACTTCTACATTCTACCTCCCCAATCAAATTCTTTTTGCCACTCTAAAATCCAGACATTCCCAATCTCACCCCCCCCCCTACACGTACCGGCGCTTTCACTCATAAAATAAGATATAGCTCTCCTACATCAACCCCCTTACCCATCTTCAACTTTCCAAAATTACTCTAGATAGTTGACGCATCAACTGGCATCACCCTTTACTATACCTTCCTATAGTGCTGAATGACTTAAGATGTCTTGCACATTTATTTCGCTTTTAACCATTAACCATTTCTCTTTGCTCGGCTTCCCTTCATCTAGACAAGGGGATCTTAGCCTGGGGTCCACGTACTGGTATCAGGGGGCCGTGAGGATTAGATAAATATTAACGTTACCTTTTTTCATAATTAGCATTTTTTTTTAGAATGTTTTAAAGGTTGATAATAGAGACAAAGCTCAATTACTAAAGTATACCATACACATTGCATACACATTTGTGTATATAACAACATTTCTTGGGAAGGAGGTCCATAACTTTCATGAGATTCTTTAGGGGTTCCGTGACTTTATAAAGGTTAAGAACTATTAATTTTGACTTTCATTGGTAAGTTCACTTTTATTTTAGTGATCACGTTCCTATTTTTTTTTCTCCTATTTACTATGTCCCACTCCCGACCCCCATCGCTAGTGCTTTGACAGAGCTGACATACATATCTTTACCTCTCTCTCTTCCCTTGATCTTCCTCTATCATCCTTCTCTTTTATGTAAGAAATTAATTTAGACATAATCCTTGGGCCAAACAATAAGTTTATAACACTGTTATATATACGAATGAAAGAATTCTTTGGTCATTAGACGAGAATAATCATTTTTGCTGCGGTATTAATGGAACCATAGTATTGTGGGAGGAAGGGGTGTAGGGGGAACAGGAGAAGGAGGATGGACGCCGGCAGTCACTTTGAGTGTAGAAGGAATGGGAGCGGAGAGATGGGAGGATGGGTTGGGTATTTTTCTAGGGCCATGATTAGAGTTTTGAAAGAATCTGGTCTTTGTTGGAATAGGAGGATATTGTCAGAGTAAGGGGCTGCAGCGCAAACATCCCCATTCTACTTTTTGAATACAAAATGAACGTCCCATGTATCTTCATGTCACACAAAATGCGTCCAGAGGATGGTCCAGAAAATTATATAAAACAGTCATCTTCCTCAATTGTCTTATATATTGAGTTT